GGTGGGTGGGTGGGTGGTAGGGTGTATTAAAAGTCCCTCGTGACAGGATGATTTCATTTCTGACTGAGTTTTGTAAAATTATCTTTGTGTCTTTGTTTTGAGAGATATTTGAGATTCTTTAGCCTTCCCTCTAAGCCTGTTTTATCACACACAAGAATGCAGACCATCACACTCAGAGTGACTGAGGAAACAGTCAAACCCAATCTGTGTTCTTAATCATTATTTGGGTAATAAGTATGATTTGAAAATGGTATTTTTTTCAAGGCATAACAAAAAATGGTCAGTTATAAAAACAAAAACAAAAAAGAAAGCGTGTGTATTGGAGATATGCAAATACCTTCAACAGTTCAACAAAAGCAGTGAATCCCTGTAAATCCTCACCTTATCATTCTGTCTTTGAAAATCAGATAAAGATGAGGTGAGCACTTTCTGTTACTGCGTGCTCCTGCGAACAAAACCAAACTCTTCCACTAGAGGGTAAACTTGCATTGTGATAAACCAGCCTGATGGTGCAACAAAGGGAGCACGCTCGTTCAGTGTTACAAGACTTTACTGACACTGAGTGCAACATCACTTTTATCAGAGGAAAAAATCTATCAGATAACGTAGCTAAAGGCAAAGCTCCAAGCTTGAAACAGCATAGGAATGGGTGTCATAGTCTCAGGATTATGTGCTGTGTCTAAAACTTGAATCTTTAGTTAACAAATGTGAGTTTTGGATTTGTGTTTAGGTTTTTCTGTATTTGAATGTAATTTTTTTTTCATATTTTATAATACTGAGGCTCATTTTTACTACACGAGTTCTAGCTACAGTTTTTTTTTTCATACCTTGTGTCAATTTTACTTCCTTCTTTTCGTTTGTCTTGATTATTTTCACCATGTTTCCTAGTTACCCTGTTTCCCATTTCCAGTCAACCCTCAGTGTGTAACTAGTGCATGCTTTTTGTTGTGTTACGTTCCTGTTGTGCCTCCCTGTAGTCTTTGTGAGCTCTACTGTTTGTTTAACCCTTTATACTCTGTTTTGTTGCATCTCTGGTTTTTGTGAAAGTAAATTCCAGTAGTAACAAATCAATATTTAACATGAACAATAAAAATTTAAGACACCCAGGAGGAGCTAAAGTTAAATAAACTTTATGAGTTTATGAGTATTTTTTACCATAAACTAAGTTAAGTTTGATAGGATAGCTTTCCAAATTAAGTTTTGAAGGTTTCCCTGCAGATCAGGGGTCACATTTGTGGAAAATGTACTGTACATGTCTGGTGTTGTAATGGTATTTCACCACTCCTCGTAGTGGCCAGTGTTACTGCAAAATAAGCAAACTAACATTAAAATCCTTTGCTGTGGTTCTGAATTGCAGCACTTTTGAAAAACAAAGAGGGAGCGTTTACACAAAGGTCAGCGAGCAAACTATCCGCAGTCCTAAACATGCAGATTTTAGTTTGACTGGAAACTTGAGCGCTTGAGGCGAACCCACGCAAATAAAGAGAGAACATTCAAACCCACATGCAAAGGCCTCAGTCAGGTTTGCACAGTGCTGATGCCTCTGAACGACCGATCAGAAAGTGTTGTATAACATGCATTTGGTACTGTAGATCTCCCTCAGTGGGCAGCCCTTTTTTCCATTTGTACCACGTGGGTGTGCAGAAATCAGAATTTTCTGCTCTCAACAACCGTTGCCATGGTGGTCATCATGGATACCAGGCTGATAGCATGGCAACATAATGATTACAGATGCCTGTTTGTATGACTGTACGCCCCAAAGAAGCAAATTTAAAGGCATTTCTGTCGTAAGTGACCACATGCTAGTGATACATTTTGAATTCTCATCTAACAAACACAAAGAGGTTTATAATAGTGACCTGACCCCCCAGAACACCCATCTGGCTTTTGTTGTTTACTCCCACCTAAATTGAGATTATGATAGATGTTTCAAATGCAACATGTTTTGCTTGTAGACTAACACCCTGTTAACCTCCTTAATTGTTTTGATGTCAGTCTTAACCTCATGCACAGACAGTGTATTATGACTGACATATGCAAAACCAACACTCAGCCTGACAAACAGCATCACATTTTTGCACAAATATAGCATTTTTTGTGAAAGCTGCACCTGTGTACATTTCATTAAGGGTCTTTAAATTCATTTCTGCAGTCGAGTTAGGATGCTTGGAGCCTCCAATGAGATGTGAGACTGAATACACAGGAAAGTGTCATTAAACCAGAGATCTCTCCAAGCTGCTCTCTCCTCAGCTTTTGTTAAACCAGTACAATCAGTGCAAAATACTGGTTCTAGAATCAACGTAGCTTAAATAATGAAAAGTAGACATGGTCTTATATCCAAGCTTAATCTTCATGCCATTTCAGAAAGAATGAGACAGCCTTAATCCAGCTATTAACCCATTTTTATTTGCTACAAATTTAGCCCCCCTACCTTTCCTAAGTAGAGTCTTCCATTTTGTCCGTCTGAGACAGACATGCACAATCACTAGCTGCTAATATTTGGAAACCCCTGCCTTTGCATCTCACTTCATTGCTGTCCACTACAACTGTATTTCCACTCACAGTCAGCTTCATCCTGGCAGCCCGAGCAAGTGTTCACAGTGAAAAGCATCTCTTCAGCTCTCCAGAGGCCCTTCCTGACTGCAGATTACACCACTGAATGTGTCTTTGTGGTGTCTCTAGTTGTGACAGACATTTGTAATAAGAATGCAGCATTTTCAGTAAGTTATAGCAGAAAACAATTACTGAAAAGGATGACTATAATCGTTCCTTTCTTTCTTACATTTTTTGATATGTATCTTAGTTAGCGCTTGGAAAACAAAAATCCAGTTATACATCCAAAGCCATAAGGAAAACAAAAACTTGGTGGAAAACCTGTGTCTGCTGTGGATCTTATTGAATTGTCCTTGACAGCAGCATTTAATCTCCTTTGTTCCAAAACATTGACCCACTGGTCTTTTAACCACAAGCTTTAACCTGAGCTCCAGTTCCACATGAGGGGGTCCAGGCCCGTTAAGGAAAAGTCTGCCTGGGCTGAGTTTGTGTGGGCCGGGAGAAAGTTTCCATATAGAGACACAGGGTATGAGTAAGTGTGTGTTTAGTGTATTAAGAGTAAAGTAATCCGGCCTTTGCCACAGAGATCTGTTGTATTTCATTACACTGATTAGACTCTTCATTCCTTCTCTTGGGCGGTGACCCATGTTAAAAGCTTCTAAGTTACAGCGGACCACGAATTCTAAAATAAATTCTAAAATAAATTCTAAAATAAATTCTAAAATAAATTCTAAAATACATTATTAAACATTTGACCAAATATTTTTGATTTAATTAATTTAAATGAAAACATTAAAAAATATTTAATTAGCTCCCATTTTAATTAATTAATGCATCATTAATTATGTTTTCTATTCATTTTGGCACTTGGGGCCTTCCATACATGGTCACACCATCACCTGCTGTGTTCAAAGAAGAGCCTTGCTTTTCTTTTTAGTGCACAATGGACAAAACTATGAGTCCACATCTTTTAATCTTTGAATTCAGGTGTTTTTAGCTTTATGAAAGCCGTGCAATCTGTCTTTACAAGCATTTGTGAGAGAATGGGTCGCTCTAAAGAGCTCACTGAATTCCAGTGTGGTGCTGTAACGGGATGCTGCCATTACAACAAGTTCATTTGTGAAATTTCTTCCCTCCTAGATATCCATGATCAACTCTGAGTGGTATTATTACAATGTGGAGACATCTAGAAACCACAGCAACTTAAACATAAAGTGGCAGACCACGTAGAGCAAGGGAGCAGAGTCGACGACGCTCACAGTTGTAAAAGTTGCTAAACCTCTGCTGACTCACTATTGCTGAGTTCCAAACAAAATTAAGCACTGGGAGCATCATGCCATGCGTTTCCATTACTGAGCAGCTCCCTGAGTGTAATGTGTCGGTGGCCCACTGCTTTTGTCTTTTTAGGGCATTTCAGATGTTTAGATTAGTCCTTTTTAATAGTTTATTAATGCCCACTTCATTTTTGCGTGGAGGAAAAGCTATCAAGTTTTTCACAAAAAGGCAAAAGCAAAAATAAGAGCTTCATCTTGTGCTTTTGTCCTTTTGCCTGCATAAATGTGGACAACAGGCAGATGGATACAGACATCACATCTTCACCCAAAGGTCGCCTTTCATGACTATGTTTAGATTATGTCACATATGTTTCTGTTCCATGATGCTCACACATATAACTGGTTGATGTTCACATATATAACTTGATTGGAGTATCAATATTAACAAGCTTATCTTCTTCTTATAAAACTCACAGACGTCTTTGTGCAGAAAGGAGGATAAAAGGACTTTTTTTGTTGTTTTTGTTTTACTTTGTGCTTGTCGTTTTATTTTGGTAGTTCACCGTTTTCTCCGGTACAGAGCTTTCACACAGATTGTATTTTGAAAGTTTTCCCGGAAGCTACCGAGGGTTATCGCTGGTGACTTGACGCTATCGGGTCTCCTCTCCCACTCTGCGGTTCCTGATCGCTGTCATCATGCAGGTGGAATCTGCGCAGTGTGGCTCAGCGTACAGATCCCAAACACCAGCCTCACCGAGCTGCAGCTCAGGACTCGGGACTCCGGAGATCAGACTGCATTTACAGCTGTAAAGGAACCAATCAAGGAGGGGAAAGCAACAAATTGGATTTTCCCCCTCCGCTTTCACTTGATGACCATCAGCAGTTTAGATACAGAGGCTTCATCAATTTAACACAACATGATGACTGAGTTAAAATAACCCACATATCGAGGATTTCTCTCTGTATCATACTGCTGGAATAAGCTCACACTGCTGTGTTGATACTGTCAAACAGTTTTCCTTGCCTGGCGCAGTCCAACTCAGCAGCAGTCGCATAGGATGCCATACAAGCCTGTAGGAAGTGACTCTCGCAGCTTGACAGGGAACAATATCCGAGGAACCCGAAGGACGTAATCTTTGTCCTGCGGATCTTATCGGTGTAAAAACACTCATGGCGATGGACGAAGGTACTGTCAGCGAGAGCATCCCAGACCTCAAAGACATAGAGGCGAAAATCGGCCGGAAGACCCCCGAGGGTTTGCTCAGGTGGATGCGGGAAGAGTCGTCCTCTCTCCGGGCAGACGCCAAGCTGGCCCTCGCGCACGACACCGGTAAAGAGACCGGGATGAAGAGTTTGGATGAAAAGATAAGAAAACTGAAGATGGAGATGGTAAGAATCCACAGTTCTCATATATGTGCCCGCAGGATGCGTGGCAGACTCTTGTTTTCCAGGATGTGTCATTCACGAAAGTCAGCCAGGTGCAGAGCTGTCATTATGACGATGAATGCTGAGCCCGGCTCGGCTCCGGCAGACAGCCTTGTTTCGAGTACTTGAACATTTATCAGCAGATCGGGTTGTCATTGCTGGGGTGTATCTGAAATTATGTGCAGGTACAGAAGCCTGCACAACTCCTGAGAGCCCAGAGACAGAGGTACTTAACATGTTATCTGACTATACAGCATGCCATTTTTAAAATTTCCTTACTTCTCTTTATTAAGTTCTTGTTTTCTGTTCAACTCTTTATATTAAAATAACTGAATGTATAAGTAACAATCCATAAAGTAGTATAACAGTATAATTTTGACCAGATGAACCTAAGCCACGTCATGTTCACATGATCACTAGCCTAACACAATAAACTGTAGTGTAACGCTCCACTTGACAGCTGAGAAAAAATAAATGACTGTGTTTTATACTCCAAGTCGTCCTTCCTGCTCCCACTGTGCGCTCAGAGCCCACAGTGGGACTCACTGCAAAATGTCAGCATTCTTTAAAATGACCATATAATCTGTATTTCAGAAAGCGCTAAATGCCAAATAATTTTCTTATCCCGTGCCTCTGGTGATGAATGATACTTTAGGACAGTGAGATTTAAGGATGCTTTTAGGGCCCCTGCTAATTGTTAGGCCTCCAGTAAGCTCACTAACCTCAGCTTTTTGGATATTCCTTAATTATTGTGTGGGCTCACACATTTAAAGCTATAATAAGTAAGTGTTTTACCTTAATGTTGGGAATAATACCAGCCTCAGTATGATTTCTGAGTTCGCTGACTCGTAACAGCACCAGTAGCATCTCATTTGTTCCCACTCCTTCCCTCAAAAGTGTCAGTCTGTATGTAACTTGGGAGAATGTATACAGTTTTCCAGGAAAGTACATTTCTAAGGAGACACTGAGGGCAGAGCTCGGCAGATTATGCCTACATGACACAAAATCAAGTGGTTTAGCTGCTGGTTAGACACAAAGCAAGAGCAGGATTACTTTATTCTAATAACTTGCAATAGATGCCAACTTTTCTCTTATGGCTGTTTGTGGCTAAAATGTTCCTAAAGTTAGGTGGATGAAGAGTAAACCAACAAATTCTATTCCATATCAAGATGACGATTTTGTGTTTCACGGCACATGGGTGCCCCTCCGTGAGCCTGGTCTGCTGGATGTTTCTTCCTTTTAAAGGGGAGTTTTTCCTTCCCACTGTCTCCAGTCTCCAACTGCTTTCATATAGTGGGGTCGTCTGATTGTTGGGGTTTTCTGAGAATTATTGTGGGGTCTTTACCTCACAATATAAAGTGCCTTGAAGTTACTTGTATTTTGATTTGGCACTATATAAATGAAACTGAATTGAATTGTTCGTTGCGCGAGCAGCTGCTATGATTTGTTTCACTACAATTCAGTACTGGAGCTTAAAAGACTCCAAAGTCCAGAGGCCTTTTATTACCAGTTGAAGCTACAGGGGCTGCTGTTATCACTGAGCAGCAAACGTTACATACGCCTGCTTTAAGAATTATACTTGCCAATGGATGTTTCAGCTTTTGGAAAGCTAAATGTTAGCATCAATCTCTCTTTTATGTCTTAGATAACGTAATTACTATGTTATCAACATGTCAAAATTAGCCAGTTAGGTCAGTGAAGTATTAATGTATTTTGAATCCAGCATAATTAAATTTTATGTTTACACCCAATGCAACACTTGCTGTGTCTTTCTGTACATTTCTTGTATTCTTTGGTAATGTTTTCACTTTGGATCGCCATAGGAGGTAAAATTAAAGATGTGACATTGACTTTGCTGTTGCTGTACGATTATGACAAAAATAATTTGGAATTTGTGGACTGATATCACACTTTTCTACTCTTCCAGAGTGCTCAAAGCACTCTATACAACACTTTCACTTTCTTTAAGCTTAATGCTTTTTCTAACTACATTCACACTCCGATGGATGCATTGGAGAGCAACTTGGGGTTAGCATTTTGCCCAAGGATACTTAACATGCAGACTGGAGGAGCCAGGGATCGAACCACCAAGCTGCCGATCAGTAGGTGACCCGCTCTACCTCCTGAGCTACAGCCTCTCCTAACATGTGTGTAAACTAAATTTTAATATGAACATTGCTCTTATTATTAAGTAGTATAATACTAAGTAGTATAAGAAGAAAATCAGGAGTCTACATTCAATTATTAAGATGAATGATTAATGATGAATTTGATTGTGACTAAATGCAACAGATGTAATTTTACTTTGACTGGACTTGAGTAATAAAATGTGAAGGCCCCTTGTATCCACTCATTCAATAATTCAAGCTGCTCTTCGCTCTGCCAGCAGCTGCACTTTGTTTGGAAATAAGTGGAGGTAAAAATGCACACAGGACCGTGGTGAAGGCGCTCTCTTCCTATTGTCTACCTGCGCTTGCACCATTTATAGAAAGTAATTTTTAACATATTGCATACATTTCTATCTTCAGTCCACTGGGCTTAATTTTGGTGTGATACATACTCATATCATACCTCTGAACAAGACTGTTTTTCAGTTTCTCTTGTTAAATGATTCCATCCCTCGTTTATTCACAGCAAGTTCGCTCTGTGTTTCTTCAGAACTGATTATTTCTTCTACAGCAGAGCTTCCGTTCAACAAGTACTTCTCTTTTTTCTTGTTTACATCAACCCCACCTCGCGTCAAACAGTGGAGGTCTGTAGCAATAATGCACCACTCTACAGTTCCCCCCCCCCAACCATGTTCATGTATGTCATACATTCCTGCGGCAGATGCAGGCATGCACCCCGTCTCCCCATCTGTGGTTGTGACACAAGAGCGTGTGCGCTGCCACAACCGAACTTCCAAACCAAACAAGCTGTTTTCTGAAAGAGTCGCTCCAAAACACATTGGTTACATTCAAACATCCAAAAACACATTAGCAGTTTGGTCGCATGGTAGAAATAGAAGCTGATTTCACTCCAGGACTCATGATGGTGGCAGCATGTGTCTTAAGTTCGCTTGCTTGGTGTAAACAAAGTTTTCAGAAAGAAAGATGATCGGCTGTCATCGTCACATTTGTTTAGTATTTTCTGCCACATGTCTTTGAGTTTGAATTAGGCTCGTATTCCTTGAGCCTGTGTGTGTGTATATCTTAGGTTAGCTTAAATAGCTGGTGAGTAATAAAACGCTCGCTCTTAGGTTGTTGTATCAGTTCAGGGCTTTTGGTGACGGGTGTGGTCTGAGAACTAACTGATGTAGCGGCTCGTGTGAATCCATTGGAAGATGGCTCACAAAACCTTTTTTCATTTTTTCAGAAGTGGTGTGTGAATGACTCAGATTGTTTTTTCCTTTTTTTCCCACAGAAGTCTTAAAAAACCCTTTTTCACATCACATCTGGGCCAAGTGCATATGTAGTCCTACATCTGAGTCATATCTGATCTCTGGACATATTGACCGCAATGTCAACGGAAATACGCATACGCGGGAGGTTCAGTGTGAACATCACATGGGTTCTGTAGTTGCAGCTTGCCTGTCTGTAATTTTGTGACCAGAAAGGCGCATTGTAATGGTAAATGGTAAATGGCCTGCATTTGTATAGTGCTTTACTCAGTCCCTAAGGACTGCCACCTGAGCTACAGCCACCCCGTAGTAATGGATGTGTTAGCTCTAAAAAGCAAAAAGTCTGAGTTTTAAGGTGTTTTTTTTTCTTCTCATAATACATATATGTATTGTAAACATGGCAATATTTAGATATAAATCAGAATATAAATGAATAAATGAGTGTTAGTGGGTTAGTGTGTACAGAAGAAAGCTCAGCTGCTGTTGTAGGTTGTATAGTACCTAACCTAATTGCATATTGAGCCCACATTTGTATTCACAAGGCATCCAGACTTGCTGGAAATCTGTTAAGACTATAGAAGCAGGCTGGACTGTTAGTAGTTTTAGTCATTTATCAAGTTTTTTTGCAGAAGCGGGAGGACAGAGAGAGAAGTGATAGTGATGAAGAACCGTTTTCTAACTCTAAGGGAGTGAAACTTTCAGTACAGTCCGGGCTGCTCCAGTATGTGAGTGTGTGTGTGTGTGTGTGTGTGTGTGTGTGTGTGTGTGCGCGTGCGTGTGTGCGCATGCAAGTGTGCATGGTTATTTCATCTGTGTGAGTGGTGCTGTGTAATGAGAGTGCAGAAGAAGAGATGGGAGCATCATCTGAAATCTGCTTAGTAAGATGTGCAGTACTAATGTGTGTGCTCAGAGGCTGCAGGGAGATACTAAATGGAAGAGCTCTCTCATGCACACAGTCGTGCACACAGCCTAGCAAAGTCACCATATTGTTTTCTTCCCCAACATTTTCTGTCATGCTGATAAGCTCAAACGAACAGGCGGGATGTTAATGAGTCGGCTATAAACTGCTTCTTTTTCCACTCTGAAAGTGTGTGTTTGTGTGGACCCTTCTGTTCCTCATTCATCTGTTACTTTGTATCCATAACCACACTGTGTGGCATTGGTGGGCTGCAGCATCTGCCTGTGTAAGATCAACACTGTGCATATTTGTGTGTGTGTGTGTGTGTGTGTGTGTGTGTGTGTGTGTGTG